GAAGAAAATTCAAAAACCATATGGTCGCCAGCGCTGGCGCGCTCTGGGCTGCGGAGGGCCGCGGCCGTGCCCGCACCGGGAGCCGCGGGGGGCTGGGCCCGGCTATTGTCGCCTGTCAGCGGCCGCCCGGGCCCATTCGTCCCGGCCTTCATGGTCCGCGCTCCGAATTACAGACCCATCCATCCTAAGAGAGGGCGATTTATGTCGCCCGGGAGGAACCGGCCGCACGGCCGCACGGCCGCACGGCTGCCCGGCCGCCTCTGGCCTTCTCTGGTCCCTGTCGCCTCTTCTCTCCGCATCTTCCCGTTCCCTTTTCCTCCTTGTCCCCGTCTCTCTGCCGCTTTCTCGGTGTCTGGAAATGGTCCTCTCTGCACCCTGCCTCTCTGCCGCCGCTCACACCCTCGCTCAGCTCTGGGTGTCTATCTAAGCGCCTTTCCCCGCTTCTGGCTGCCTCGTAGCTTCCTCCTTGGACACGCACGTTCCTGACTCAGGCCCCGGGGCCCCAGCGCCTGCCCGAGACCAGATGCGCGGTTCTCACATCAATTTTTCGGAGAAAGGGAGCCCAGCGGCCTGGAGGCGGGACCCAACTCGAGTGACTGCGGCCACTCGCCAGCCCGACAACAAAAGCCCAGAGAGACCCTCTCCCCTCAGTTTAGGAAAGTGAAAGTGGCCGGACCCCCCCCCCCCCAGCCGCCCAAAGCCGCTGGGAAACCAGGAAGTCCCTGAGACACCTATGGTTTTGCTGCTAGCCAGTTCTGGGCCAGCATTTGGGAAGGTTACTCGAAATGTACTACAACCCCCAGACGCGTTGGGCTTGCATTCTCGAAAGCCCACAAGTGCCATTCAGCATGCCCCAGTTGTCTTCAGCCTTACACTCCTTCCCGGACTCCCAAACCAGGCTGACGCCCTCAGGGCACGACCCAAACTCGGGAGTCTCCAGGCTCCACCCTGATTTTCCACTGAGTGACACCTGCCCGTGTCGAGCAGGTGTCGAGGAAGCACAGGTAGACTACGACGGTCAGCGATGGAACCCAGAACCGCAGGGCAAGCCTTGCCTCACCTTGGCGCCTCCCGTGTACAAACGAGTTTTCTGTCACCATCGGCAAGCCTAGCTTTTTACCCCGACCCGACGAAGCAGGCTTCTCAGTCCATTCGGCAGCTGCTGCGTGCTTAAGGGCCTGGGCAAAAGGCACTTCCTCCCACTGCTTCCTCGTGGTCCCTCACCCTAAGCCTGCCCGGAAACTTTCCCCCAAATCTCCAAGGCAGGCGGGACCCACAAGGGGCATCAGGGACAATCTTAACCTTCGGTCGGCAGCTTTGGGTAAATGCGGCCGGTTCTCGCAATTGCGGTCGCGGCCCGTTCTAGTAAAATGGCAAAGACTTTTATTTATCGGAGAAAGAGGCCTTGGGTACAGTCGGAGAAAGAGAGGGAGGGGTAGGAGCTGGGAAGGGGCATCCGGGACCCACCCGCACCGGGCCACCCTCCTATGGCCAAGTTGAGACGGGAGAGAGAGAGACTGACAGACAGAACCAGAGCTGCAGAGGAGGTGAGGGTGAGCTTGGGTCGCCCTTCTTTCGGTCTCTGTCACATGCAAAAAAAGAAAAAAATCTAAAAAGAGTAAAAAATAATTCTAGGGCTTTGGGTTCTGTTTTCGATGATTGGTCAGATGTCCCCTTGCTTTTTCCCTAAAAGCCAGACTCCAGCAGTCAGTCCGAGAAAATGCAAGAAGGTTTGGAGAAATTTTAAAAATAGCGGACATCGGGAGGCAGACACGCCATCGAAAACAGACTTCTCTTGCTGGGGAAAGAAGAGATCGATTTTGAAACTTGCAAGTCAAGGTCGGGCTGTCCCCCCACCCCCTTCTCACGCAGGGAAAAAAAAAAGGCAGAAGGAAATCAAAAGTCAACTGTAACAGGCCGAGGGAGTGAGCGAACCGGTGCATTCGCCACATGCAGAGAAAAAATGAAAACAGCTTCTAGACCGCAGGAGTTAGTGTTCGCCGCTCTCGAGTCCGCCTCACCGTCAGCCGACCCGGTAGCACCCGGGCTTTGAAAACATCGAAATCTCTGAGATTAAAAAAAAATAATAATAGTAAAATAAAATAAAGAAAAAGATCAGGCTGCGGTGGGAGGAACCCCTTATATAGGCTTAAATATTTATACAGAAGCCATACAGAATTGCACGGCGGCGGCGAGCGCTTCCGGGGCGGCGGAGGCCGCTTGTGGCGGCCGGCCCCGCCGGCCGGCCCGGATTTATTGCTTCGAGAGGGAAGAGGCGGCTGTCAGGAGCCAAGTCGGGGCCCCGGGACAAGGGTGGAGGCAGGAGATGCAGAGGAGGTCCCAGCTCCCCTTCGCGGTCCGGTCCGGGGGGCGGCGGGCATGCGGGCGCTGGGGGCCCGGGAGGCAGAAGGTCCAGGGCGCCGCTCAGTCGTCCACGTCGATCTCTTCGTCTTCCTCGTCCTCTGAGCAGTCCTGGCTGCTGGCCCGCTGGTCCGTGAGCGGAGAGGCCGGCGAGAGCTGCAAGGGCCCACCGCCCGGGGCTTGCGGGGCGCCTGGGGGCAGCGCGGGAGAACCGGGCCTAGACTTGGCCCTGCCGCAGCCGCCGCCGCCACCGCCGCCCGAAGCCTCCGAGTTCTGCTCCAGTTCGGCCAGTGCCACGATGTCCATCTGCCCGCTGGGGCCCAGTTTCTTGGCGGACTCCACGTCGGCCTTCATCTCCTCCAGATCCCGCTTGAGCTTGGCGCGCCGATTCTGGAACCAGGTGATGACCTGTGCGTTGGTGAGGCCCAGCTGCTGCGCAATTTGGTCGCGATCTGCCGGGGACAGGTACTTCTGGTACAGAAAGCGTTTCTCCAACTCGTATATCTGGTGGTTGGTGAAGGCCGTGCGTGATTTTCGCCGTTTCTTGGGCGTCTGCCGCTGCCCAAAGATGGTCATCCCATCGCGGCCTGAAAAGAAATGACAGTGTACGCTCGCAACGAGAGAGTGAAGACCCCACCCAGACTCTATCCCATAACTCTCCACCAGACCCAGGCCCATCTCGCTGTTGAGTCTAATCTCTATACCAGAGCAAGCTGGGCCATGGGAAACCTCCTGTCTTTGGTCTCCTGGAAGTCGCTAGGAATAATTGTTTTGGTCTCTGCTCCCTAAGAGTTGGTCTGAAAGACCTAAAGTCTCACAGAGTACAAAAAAGCCAAACAGAGACTCCCCAAATGTGTTGTGAACACAGATTTTTTTTTAACCCCTTTCCAGTGGCCTGACTCCATCCTACCCAGAAGTTTCCAGGAAAAGATTCTCTCTCTGCCCCACTCCAGGAGTAAAGAGCATCCAAGCCGATGGAAACTCCAAGAAACCCGTCAGACTTTGGGGGAGAGCTTGGGTTCCCCACCTCTCTCAGATCACCCCGACTCAGAGGTCCCTGGGTCCTGTCCCACCTATCTCCACTCCCGTCTCAGCGACAGAAGCTAGGACTGGAGGGACCTGACGGCCGGCCGGCGTGGGCAGAGGCAGGGGGGTACGAAGTACAGGACACTGAGTGTGGGCGACCGGGCGCAGGGCAAACCTAGGCTGTGCCTACCTTCGGCTGCCTGCAGGACGCTGACCTCCAGCCCCTTAAAGGTCTTGCTGGCGAGCTCCTCCAAGGCGCAGAGCGGCGAGGTCTGCGAGAGCAGAGCGCGGCCCGCCAGGGGCAAGCCGCCCGGCGCGTGCTTGTCGGCGGCGGCCAGCAGGTGCGCCGCCCCACACAGCGAGTAACTTCTCCGCACCGACGGCTTGTTGAGGATGTCCTCGATGCTGAACGGCGTCAGGGGCTTGTTGGAGTTGGCGGGCGGCGGCAGGTGGTCCAGAGGGCTGCGCCGGCGCTCCTCCCCCGGCGCCGCCTTGCCGTCCTCCTTGGAAGTCATCTCGGCCTCGCTTGGGGGCCCGGCCGGGGCGGCTCGGGCCGCGGGGACCC